AGACAACTGACTGCTTCCTATATAAACAGTAACTAAGTCTGGGAAAACCATAAAGTAGAAAATGAAGCATATTATCAGTAACCACAATTCGATCTTGTAATGAAATAAAAATGTGATCTCTCTAATCGGCCTGATACCAGAACATTGATGAAATAGATGGTTCCTTTAGCTATAATCAGTGTTTTGCACACACATTAGTAAAATAAAGTTGTTATGAAAATATAGTTCTAATATTGGAACAAACAGAAGAGCATTCATACTGCGTTCTATTGAAAAAAAAAAGTATATTTTCACACGTGTGCTTGTTTGTTTCTTGAACACTGAGCAGCAGCGTCTGGTGGTAGATATATTACCACTTCAATTTATTTTATGATGGGACATTTGCATGAAACTTTATAGCATAATATCACGTATACGGATTTATAACAGAAACACTGTTGAAGGCGAGAACAGATCGCTGACATCACTAAGTCACTGAAGGCATCTGTTCCTTTCAATTCATGCGCAAAGGAAATTGCGCTGCTTTATCGACTGAATAGACCCTTTATTATGGAGGACATAAAAAAATCGCGACGAACAACATGCTTTCACAAGCAAGCTAAATGTACAGGGTCAGACAGTTGTGGCACCCCCCTCTACATGGATATTATAACGCGGGAACCTTCTTGGACTCAACCAGAGATATACATGTGATGCATTCAATAGATATTATATTGCGTCAGGGTGGCAGACAAAACTGAACTTGAGGAGCCTGACGGTTTTCTAGGCGACTGTAATCCTTCTGATTACGTGGGCTAATTATAACGGAGGGAAATATGAAACCGTGTAACGTGTTTATCGCATTATTTCTCCAAATTCAAATATATTTACTAGGTTCCTTATATTAGTTTTTTTTTAAATTTTACATCCTGTTAGCGTATACAGAATGTCGCTAGACAATGGTTTAGTTGTGATGGCCTTAGATCAAACGTAGCCGACACATGCTTCATTATATATTAATTTTAAAAAGTTAGGCGTGCGATATCTGAAATCGTAGTATCACGTGTTTCATCCGTTTAGTACTACCTTAATTATTGGAGTAACTGAACACGATTTTCGGGTGTCAAGGTCTTGACAAGTTAGATCACAGAACTTTATGATCAAATTCTTTGTATAATTGTGGTTTCATATCACAGCGATTTTAAGCGCCCCTGGTGGCTAAACAGTAAGTTTGAGGGCTTATAACGCTAAAAAAAAAATCGGGTTTCGATACCCATGATGGACAGAGCAAAAATAGCCCATCGTGTAGCTCTGTGTTTAACAACAAAACAAAGAGTGTTGCACGTTAAATCGTTGTGACTTGTGAAGCTCGCCTTTCATCCTTAAAAGTGTGTGTTGGTAAAAAAATGATACAAATTATTCTCAGCATATATTTTAAATAGTAAGGTTAGATATTGATATCTTGCGCTATTTTTAGCATCGGAATTGAATA